TTTTGGTGGCGGGGGATGGAGTCTCACTCTGTCGGCAGGCTGGAGTACAGTGGTGCGATCTTGGCTCACTGCAACCTCTGTCTCCCTGGTTCAAGCGATTCAACGGCCGCAGCCTCCAGAATAGCTGGGACCACAAACGTACACTACCACACCTGGCTAATTTTTGTATCTTAGTAGAGACAGGGTTTCACCATGTTGATCAGGCTGGTTTCCAACTCCTGACTTCAAGTGATTCTCCCGCCTTGGCCTTCCAAAGTGCTGAGATTACAGGCATGAGTCACAGTGTTTGGCCACATTTTACATTTATTAACTCAGTCTTCGAGGTATGGTGGTATTGGTGAGACCAGCTCCCCATATATCAACGTGGATTCAAGACCTCTCAAAGTGAGCGAGTGATCGGTGAAAAAGAAAAAAAAAAAAGACAAAGAAATAGTTTTCTTTAAAGCTGGGCCCAGGAGAGACACCACATAAACCCTCTCGGTGGATGTCTAACATTCCCCTGAAAACCTTAGTTCTTTATTAAGCTCTTTCAACAGGAGAGGGGAGTGAGGCTACACAACAGTGTGGAAATAATACAAAAAGAATACATTTGCAAAACTGGTGCATAAAAATCACAACGTGGTATTATAAAAGCAGAACAATGTAAAGATAACTTTCTGTATGTCAGCATAGAAACCATACACCTTAGCAAGAATAGAGGTTAAACATAAACTTAACTATCAGCAAGAAACGCATTGGGCTCACAGCTGCAGGGGGAACAGGATCTGACACAGGACAACCATCCTGACCACAAAGCTGCAAGAGGAGGGGGCCTCCCTGCAGGCCTGCAGGAGCAGTGGGAGAAGAAAGATTTTTACATTCTTATCTCCAGAGAGGTTTTTCCTCATGACAGATGCCCCTCATGCATCCGTTTATAGGTTCTCCATAGGGTTGCATTCATTTCCAGGGCCCTAATCAATATCCCTTTCCTGGGAAAGCAACTTGGGTAATAAGACTCTCCATTACACGTCCATTTAGAGGCTCTCTGCAACAAGAAGCTTATTACGTGCTGTCATCTCTCTCTGGCAGTCACGCTGTGTGGTTTGTCCCTTTCACAAAGTTCCTATTTTTACAAGAACAGCTCAGCATTTCACATTATTCATTTTCTCAAATATAATCGATATAGTAAGTAACAAGCATAACAAAGCAAATAAGTCATTTCGGGGAAACCAAATTCTAAGAGAATTTACAAGTTAAATAATCAACAGCAATTTCTTCTTGTTATTTCAGATAGCTTGGGTTTTACCAATTCTTCCAGAAGCCTGGGGTTGCTCAGTCACCACAGAGGCATCCACAGTATTCCCAGCGTGATGGTACGTTTATAGTCCCCATTTTATAGATGAGGCCATTGAGGCAGAGAGGTTGAATGGTTAGAGTCCGCATTTAAACCCAGGAAGTCTGATTTCATCAACTAATGTAGTTACTAAACCTACAACACACTAGAACTGGTCATAAACTCAAATGACAAGCAAGGTGAGGCGAGAAAACTAGATGTCATGGTTTGTTTAACAGAGGGGGGACTGGTTTTTTTTTTAAAAAAATATTTTATCCACAGTAAGAAAAAGACCCACACAAGCATAGTGATACATAGTAACTGAGGTGAGGAGTGTGGGCTCAGCTTTGCCAGGTCATCTTAGGGTTTTTTTGTTTTTGTTTTGTTTGTTTGTTGTTTAGCAGATACCATAAATCTAATTTTTTATGTGAAATTTTCAGAATTTTAAATGTTTATAAGTAAATTTAAGAATTTTTAAATACACTATGTGGTGCACACAAAAGATATCTGTGGGTCACATGTTGCTTGCATGAAATGACTCTTCTATATAAATTCTATAATTTCTCAAGCCTCCAAATCACTGAGAAATAACATACAGCCAAGGACAGAAGACTGAGGTACACCAAGATGACATTATTATAGCAAGCCTAAGGCAACTGAAATATACATAGTCTGTCAGGAGCATATTTATGATATATAGGATAAAATGTTTGAAATTAAGACTATTTGGGAAAGTGAAGATGCAGGTTCACTTAGGTTAATGGGCCTCATTTGGGCTTCAGTTACTTATAAATTCAGCTGAGAAGATAATAACATTTAAAAATAAACCAGAAAGAGCCAAGTGCAGTGGTACACCATGCAGGCCCAACTACTTGGGAGGCTGAGGCTGGAGGATCACTTGAGTCCAGGAGTATGAGGCTGCTGTGTGCAATGATCCTGCCTGTGAATGGCCAATGCCCTCAGCCTGGACAATGGAGCAAGATCCTATCTCTTAAAAAAAATAAAAAAGAAGGAAGGAAGTAGAATGTCTTAAAGTATAACCCGATGCCATCAAAATCAGATTTTTGCCCAGAATTTCGAGACCTGGATGATCTGATAAGTTAAATAGAGGAGTCAGTTCTCAATCAATGCCAAAGTAATTGGTATTTACTCTGTGTGTGTATGTGGTAGTAAACTCATCTCTTAATTTAGTTTTATCAAGTTGAAGACTTCCTGTCACATGAAAAAGGAATTTATGGGAGGTCTTCAACTTTCCGCTCCAGGTAGGTTGTGTACTTTATTCCCAGACTGGGGGCTGTCAGGAAAATTTAAAGCAAGACTGAGAAGAAGGGAAACCCTCCTTTTTTTTTTTTTTTTTTTTTTTTTTTTTTTTTTGTGAGTCAGGCTCCAGGCTAGAGTGTAGTGGCATGATCACAGCTCACCGCAGCCTTGACTCAACCTCCCTGCCTCAGGTGAACTTCCCACCTCAGCCTCTTACATAGCTGGGACTATAGCTGTGTGCCACCACACCCAGCTAATTTTTCTATTTTTTGTAGAAACAGTGTTTCACTGTGTTACCCAGGCTGATCTCAACCCCCTGGGCTCAAGTGATCTGCCCAGCTCGACCTCCCAAAGTACCAGGATTACAAGTGTGGTCCCACTGAAATCATCCTTTAAAACCAATCTGGTGACACACCTATTAGGGTTGCTGCTATCAAACAAAATAGAAAACAACAAGTGTTGGTGAGGATGTGGAAAATGGAAACTTCTGTGCACTGTTACTGGGAATGTAAAATAGCGCAGAAACTATGGAAAACAGTGTGGGGGTTCCTCAAAAAATTACAAATAGAATTACCATATGACCCAGCAATTCTACTTCTGTGTCTCTACCCAAAATAATTGAAAAAGAGGACTCAGAAATATTTGAACACTTGCATGCATAGCTGCATTATTCATGATACCCAAAGGTGGAAGCAACCCAAGCGTTCATTGACAGATAAAAGGATAAACAAAATGTGGTATATACAGTGGAATAATATTCAGCCTTAAAAAGGAAGGAAATTCTAGACATGTTACAAAGTGGAGAACCTAAAAAATTGCAAAGTTAAATAAGACAGTCACAAAAGAACAAATATTATCTGATTCCACTTATATGTGATGCCTTGAGTAGTCTAATTCATATGCACAGAAAGTCAAAGGGATACAAAAATTAACCCAGCATGGTGGTACACACTTGTACGCTCAGCTACTTAGGAGACCTGAGGCGGGAAGATGGCTTGAGCCTGGGAGGTGGAGAGATCACGCCGCTGCACTGCAGCCTGGGTGACAGAGCCAGACCCTGTCTCAAAAAAAAAAAAAAAAAAAAGTCAAATAGTGGTGGAGGGCAATGGAGAGTTAGTATTTAATGAGTACAGAATTTCAGTTTGGGAAGATGGAAAAGTCCCAGAGGTGGTGGTGATGTGGTAATGGTTGTACAACAGCGTGAATATATTTAATGCTACTGAACTGTACACCTAAAATGGCTAAAGTGCTAAATATTATGTTTTATATATATATATATATATGTACACACATATGTAAAACCACAATTAAAAACATTATTATTTTTTTTTTTAGTTCTTTTCACTATCCACCTGGAGATAAAAAACATTATTTTTTTAAAGACAGGAAAAAATAACCCAATCCACTCTTTGTTGAATACGTACCACCTGCCAAGTACATGCATTATTTACTCTGCTAACTGTTTAATATATGTCTCAATGTTTTGGACCTGCCATTTTAACCTCTAACGTCATTTTGCCTCCATTTCATAAATATACATATTTTATTTTTAAAATATACATATTTTAATCAGATCTAACCCAATATTGGTGAATTTCCATTTATACTTAATTCTCTGTTTAACATTTTGTACAGATTAAGTTGCCAATTTCCAATTTTTGCCATTTTAATTCTGCGGAAATCAGTTTTGTGGAGTATTTCCTAGGCAAAGTTTACAAGGAAGATTTAGTTGATCAATAAAAACTAGATCCCTATCAAATTTTAGAGTTTCCATATCTGCTACTGTCACTTTATGAGTGCTCCTTATTTGTATTAAGTATAGTTTTGTTTTTTTTTTTATATGGAGTCTTGCTCTGTTGCTCAGGCTGGAGTACAGTGGCATGATCTCTGCTCACTGCAACCTCTGCCTCCTGGGTCTAGGCAATTCTGCTTCAGCCTCCTGAGTAGGTGGGACTACAGGCATATACCACACCTGGCTAATATTTTGTATTTTTAAAATTAAAGATGGGGTTTCACTGTGTTAGCCAGGATGGTCTTGATCTCCTGACCTTGTGATCTGCCCACCTTGGCCTCCTAAAGTGCTGGGATTACAGGTGTAAGCCACCATTCCCGGCCAAATTTTCTTTTCTTTTTTTTTTTTTTTTTTTGAGCTGGAGTCTTGCTCTGTCTAGCTCAGGCTGGAGTGCAGTGGCTCGATCCTGGCTCACTTCAACCTCGGCCTCCTAGGTGTAAGCAATTGTGCTGTCCCAGTCTCCCAAGTAGCTAGGATTACAGGAGCCCGCCACCAGGCACGGCTAATTTTCTGTATTTTTAGTAGAGATGGGGTTTCACCGTACTGGCCAGTCTCAAATTCCCAACCTCAGGTGATCCTCCCACTTTGGCCTCGCAAAGTGCTGGGATTATAGGCACGACCCACCGCACCTGGACTGGGGTGATTTTTTAAACACATGATTTTCCAAAATTTTTTTTAGTCTAAGATAATTTTACTAGAGTTTTAGCTGTTTTCAGTTTTAAATTGCACTGATTATTTCTACTAGTGATAATCATTATGAATGGATAATATTGACAGAATTACTTTTAATATCAGAGAGGCTTTTCTATGTAAAGCAGAACATTTCATTCGCAACTGTTGTTTGTTCCTCAGTATACATAAGGGATCAGTCCAGGATCCCTAGTATACCAAAATCTGCCTATACTTAAGTCCCACAGTTGGCCCTGTGGAACCTGCTAATATGCGAAGTCAGCCCTGCCATACTGGGTTTTGTGTCCCAAGAATACTATTTTCAATCTGTGATTGGTTGAAAAAAATCCAAGTAAGTGGGCTATGCGCAGTGGTTCACACCTGTAAGCCCAGCACTTTGGGAGGCCAAGGCTGGCGGATCACTTGAGGTCAGGAGTTCAAAACCAACCTGGCCAACACGGTGAAACCCTGTCTCTAGGAAAAATACAAAAAAGGTAGCCAGGCATGGTGGTGGGCACCTGTAATTCCAGCTACTCTGGAGGCTGAGCAGGAGAATACCCTGAACCCAGGAGGCAGAGGTTGTAGTGAGCAAGATCTCACCACTGCACTCTAGCCTGGTGACAGAGGGAGATTTCATCTTTAAAAAAAAAAAAAAAAACCGTATAAGTGGACCCGTGCAGTTCAAATCTGTGTTGTTCAAGGGTCAACTGTATTGTTCAATGCTCAATTTATGAAGCTCTAATAGCTAATAAAACTTGAAATCAGGCTGGGCGCGGTGGCTCAAGCCTGTAATCCCAGCACTTTGGGAGGCTGAGGTGGGCAGATCCAAGGTCAAGAGATCGAGACCATCCTGGCCAACATGGTGAAACCCTGTCTCTACTAAAAATACAAAAATTAGCTGGGCGTGGTGGCATGCACCTGTAGTCCCAGATACTTGGGAGGCTGAGGCAGGAGAATTGCTTGAACCCGGGAGGTGGAGGTTGCAGTAAGCCGAGATTGTGCCAATGCACTCCAGCCTGGTGCCTGGCGACAGAGTGAGACTCTGTCTCAAAACAAAACAAAACTTGAAATCAAACCTTTGGGTATTTAAACATTGTTTACACATTTAATTAAATATGCTTAAAATTTTATTTTATTTTATTTTATTTTATGCTTAAAATTTTAAAGCACAATTAAGGTTTTAGTATGTCTGATTCTTATGAATACTTCAGATATCTTGAAGAGCAGACAACACATACAGAAGTAATGGTTTATTGGGAAGCTGGTGAGGTTTAAGTTTCAGGTCCCTCACTTGCACTGCCCCTTTCAGGGCCCTGTATTCATACTTACATTTATACCTTACTTTGCATTTTTTTTCTTAAAGAAAGCTGCCCAAATTGTGTAAGCTTCCGGCCCCACAAAATCTAGATCCTCATGCTCCATGCTTCTTTGGATCCTTGCTTTATTTATTTTGTTATCCTCCTAAGGTTTCCGTACCATTCTTTATTTATTTATTTATTTAGAGACAGAGTATCACTCAGTTGCCCAGGCTGGAGTGCAGTGATATAATCTCAGCTCACTACACCCTCAACCTCCCAGTCTCAAGCTATCCTCCCACCTCAGCCTCCCAAGTCGTTAGGACAACAGGTGCACGCCACCAGGCCCAACTAATTTTTATATTTTTTTGTAGAGACAGGATTTCACTAATGTTGCCAAGGCTGGTCGGGAACTTCTGGGCTCAAGCAGTCCACCCACCTTGGCCTCCAAAAGGGCTGGAATTACAGGCATGAGCCACCACACCCAGGTTAATTAATTAATTAATTAAGTTAGAGATGGAGTCTCGCTCTGTCACCCAGGCTGGAGTGCAGTGACATGATCTCGACTCACTGCAACCTCCACTTCCCAGGTTTGAGCAATTCTCCTGCCTCAGCCTCCTAAGTAGCTGGGATTACAGGCAGCTAATTTTTGTATTTTTAGTAGAGATGGAGTTTCACTGGCCGGGCGCGGTGGCTTACCCTGTAATCCCAGGACTTTGGGAAGCCGAGGCGGGCGGATCACGAGGTCAGGAGATCAAGACCATCCTGGCCAACATGAAACCCCATCTCTAAAAAAGAAAGAAAGAAAGAAAGAAAGAAAGAAAGAAAGAAAGAAATAGAGAGATGGAGTTTCACCATGTTGACCAGGATGGTCTTAAACTCCTGTGTGAACCACCTCCTGTGGCTGAAAATATTTATTTTTTAAGGTTAGATGTTTTACCTTTCTTTCTTTCTTTCTTTCTTTTTCTTTCTTTCTTTTCTTTCTTTTCCTTCCTTCCTTCCTTTTCTTTT